ACCTAATACATTATAACTATAGCTGTTCCTTTCAGTTTTCGTTATAAATGATTTTGACTGTTTTTTTACTTTAGTTTTCTTTTCTCCTCTCCTCCCTATTTTATCACGAGTCTAATGTTTTATTAACTTAATTATTATTTGGTTTATTTATTTATCAATTTATAATATCAAATTATCACGTGTTTTCACAAGTGTTGCTTGGAATGTAACAATTTCAGAGTTAATTTTTTTTTTTTAAGCTTTGTGTTGTAGCTTGTTTTTTTTTTTAATATTCCACAAAGTGATCAAAATCAGAAGCAAGAATGAGAGCGAAACAAAATATCTCATCAATTGTATGTTCACCATTCTCTATATTCAAACCAGGCAGGTAATTGGTCTTAGCGTCCTCTAGGAACTTTTGCCATCCGGTTTCATCTGCTGCTCTCTTTTCCCAGTTTGGTATATTTAGAATAGTTCTCAAATCAAATGCCACGCTGTCTATCCTTATTTGACTGATTTTGTCTAGTCTTATCTTCCAACACCTTTCTAGGATTTTCTCCTTCCCCGATTCTTATTACATGTCTGGTCTAGCCTAATCTTCTGATCTTAATAAAGTCAACAGTAGTTAGGTTGTTATACTGAATTAATAAAATTTTCAAAACACAATCAGTTTTTAAACTTGATGATTTGTATAATTTTCATAATTCTTGATGGTTGCAGCAGTATCATCTGCCCATACCAAAAATAAAACAATAACATTTTTCTTTAAGTTAGATTTATTTTTATCTGTGATACCTAAATGTTGTCTCTGTTCTCCCCTCCTCCCACCCTTTCCTTCTCATATTTACTCATTATATTATATACTCATGAAAGTTTTCATGAATTGTTATATATAATTTTTTTTTCTTTTATTTATTTATATTTCTTGATTATTGCATAAAATTTCTGTATCATTGTGATCATACTCCTCCCCCTCTCTCTTTCTTTTGTTCATACCTGTAATGTCTTATATTTTACTTTTATTTGTAATTATCAACTTAAAAAATTATGGAAGGTAGATTATGAGTTCTCGCTACACAGCTGTTTTTACCTCAGGTATATACTTAAGTTTACTTCAGGTATATGCTTATTGCCTGTATTTTTTCCTTCTATCTGGTATGTCAACAGAAATTCAAATGAATCTCAAGTAGTTTTAAGTTTATTGTTGTCAAAATAATCTGATCTTAATTTATTGCATTGTTGATAACGCATGTTATGAACTGCCTGCATGAAATCTTACATATTTGTTGATTGAATTCTGCCTGAATATTTTTTATGCTTTAGTTAAAAAAGTGTTTTTAAATGTTAGATAAACTGAACTTTTACTGTTTGACCTCTTTGAAATGATTATTTTTCTATGTATTAAAACTTATCTAATTAAAAGAAAACATAATTTGGGGGAGGGAGGGGGGGGGACCGTTCAACTTTGTTAACACATAATAATTTTACTGTTCACCTGTGTTCTATTCCATAAATTATTAGGAACTTATCCAAGGTTGATTTTTGTTTGATTTGTTTACTCTAAATAGTCTGCTAAGTTGTTAAAAGTGCTGTTACTGGTGATCTTTTCGTCGAATCTCTATTTTAAGTTTGATTCTTAAATTATATGTAACGCCGAAGCGAGTATTAATGAGATGGGTAGAACTTTCTTACTGATGAAAATAAAATGTTCATTGTCATATTCATCTCTCTTTATTTAAGTATATACTGTTCATTTGTTGTTGTCAGTTGAAAAAGTTATTGTTATTACTTCTTATTTATCTATCTAATTTTCTAATATCATTATTTGTCACTATCTTCTTAAGCACGTCAACATATGTAGTTCTTGTTTTGTTATTTTTGATAAAAACATAAATTGAATCATATATTATCTTACTTAATTTTTACTCATTCTTTTAAATGACAGGTTAGAAGTATAGCGTGTATTGATCTTTTGAATTTCATCTGATATTACTTTTAATACATATTCTTTTTATATGCATACATTTGCAAAAAATATAATTTAATAGAATTCATTTTATTTTCAGCCATTGTGAAAATACATAATTATCAGATCCTAACTTTTCAGAAGATATTTTTTTCATCAAATATTTCTTCTATTTATTGTTTTTTAAGTATTAGACTAAATAAACATTCTTGTGATTTATCTGAATGTCAGTTTTGTTGTAGTGAGAAACAAGAAAGTAACAACACTTTAATTATTTCCTCTAGTTTGGAAACGACTTCTAATTCATTTCTCTTCAGACAATAGATGTTACGTAAAGCATATTAGTGATGTAATTAGAACTAGTGAAAAACAACTTATTCTTCTTTATATTAAAATTTGAATGAGTTGATTTTGTATCACAGACATATAAAAACTTATCTGATCTTTGTATTCATTTTTTTTTTCATGTGTCATACACCAAAAAACTAATATCTATGCTGAAAACTATATCTACCAAATTATTTAATGCTCATTATCCTTCTAATTTACAATATGAAATCATGGTCAGTTTGTTCATTCTTTTAATTGTTTCAGTTTATTCATGTTTTAAGTTAAGTTTCTTAATTTATCCTATGAATTTAGGTTACTATTTGCAGAAGTAGTCCAATAGAAATGTTTTACTCTAATTCATTCCACAATTTTATTAGCATAATGCATATGGTTAAAAGATAAACTTGAAAGTTAGTGTAATGAAATAAGAAATTTGATTTTCAAACAACGGTTTGATAGTAATTTAATATAGAAAGGCATATTCACAAATTCTATACAGTATATATCTCTATCCAGCTTGAATAATTAGAAAACTCAATTTTTTTTTCTTTTGAACAGTTCAATGATTGAAATGGTTTACTCCGAATTGCTAGTAAATTTTCCACATAATGTTTTTTTTTTTTAATCAGAAAATCATTTGCATTGCTAAATTCCATAAAAATTTAAGTAATTAAACTAAAAATTGATTAGAAATTCAATATTTCAATTTAGATGTTCTTTACTTTTGACTTATTTCATTATTTGAGCCAGAAGGCTGTGTGCCGTAGGAGGGTTACTATTATTGTCCTGTTTGGAATACCTTTATTGTGTGTACATTTCATTCAATCGAATCAACAATAACCTGTATTGTATCAAAAGGGCGCATCACTAAGTGTAGTATTTTATCTCTGCGGACTTAAGAGTATGTTGATTCTATTAATTGTCAAATTTTTGGAATACCTATTTTTAGTCCATGGTACAGACCTCTTTATATCAAATTATTAACATCTGCCTGAAACTTGTAAATAGCTTCATCTCATCGTAACCTACAAATCTTGAATTTACTAAACATTCTCGGAATCAGGGCATTTTCTATCTGGAGATTGCCAAACTTTGTCCATTTAATTAGGTACTGAAAACTCATGAATACCCATTTCCTTTCTGCTTGAATTGTATGATGATTTGAGCACAAACTCGAGAGAAAATGTGGCCTTCAAAAACATTGAGTCATTTGGCGTGACCTGCTCTCCCAAAATTTCAAAATAACAATGTTGTATGGACCAAATTGTCCAATATTTTTGTAGGCAACCAGAGACCCAAATGGAACAGAACAAAGCTTAAAGAGTAGGAGGTTAAAAACCTATTCTATTATATCATAGCATATCATTCTTGTCAAGTGCTGGGTAAGGAATGTGAAATATTCTTCCTCCTCTCTTGCTTCAACTGAAGGAATATTCCTCATTCCTTACCCAATGCTTGACTAGAATGATATGTTATGATATAATAAAATAGGTTTCTAACTTCCTCCTCTTTGAGCTTTGATGTGTTCCATTTGGGTCTCTGGTACTGATTTATATAGCATAATAGTCTCTTTTTTGGGTCAACTTTGTCCCCCACTAATAGTGGTCATAGTTTAGATCAGGTCCTCGGTATGAATTGGCATAATTTATTTTGTTTTAACCCAAGATGAGATCATTATGTGATCTATTTGTACAGGACACTATTTGGCGAGGCGAGGTCTAAGTTTCTTTATGTTATTTTTATGAACAAAAATTGTAGTCTTAAAAGTTCGCACATTAGATGCTGCAAAACTGACTGATAGTTCACCATTGTCATTGGTTACCTGATACATACTGTATCTCCATATGGCGTTAGCGACTGCAGACTCCTTCCCTATTTTAGCATTGAAAGAAACTAAAATTATTTTACATGTCAGTAGGAGATCCATTTCTTATAATTTTGTCCCATTCTTCATAAAAAATTTCCTTTTTCTCAGTCTGTTCGTGCACATTTATGAGCCTAATATTATGACGCTTGATCATTATAGTAGATATTCTGTTATTTCAGTAAATATTTTTGCTTAGTTATAAGTTATAAATTGAGGATTGCTGTTTTTGTACTTTTGAAAGCCAAGAAAACCGGTTCCAAATTCATGCCTATATCTCACCACCACTATAGTAAAAGTCAAACTCTTTCCTGCTGAATTAAACACACCCCATCCATCTTGTTTCTAAAATGGCAGCGATATCTACATTAAGTCGGGATTGGTCCTTTGATTCAGTAAGGGTATCTGGCCTATTTACCATGTTCCAAATTTGAATATCTTTTTGAAAGTTACATGATCTTTTTGCAAGACTCCAGACTTGGGACTGGCAGTGGTCCAGTAAACTGATCTTACTGTTTAAATTTGATTCGTTATCAAATTATAATCAATTTTACCATTTTTTCTCACACATTAATGTATTTTAGTTTCCCAATAATCAACTTCTTCACATCAAGTTTGAGTGCTAGTAGTATATAATTTACAATTAGGTTTTTTATATTACATCTATTTATATTTTTTATTAAGATAAAATGCAAAATAATTGACAAAAATAAGTCTACAATTTTCCATTGAAACTGTAAACACTATGACACCCATAACTTAAAGAAGTAAATTCTTTTCCTTATGCCATTCCCTGTTATATTAAATTTAATATTTGATTAGTACTTTTGTAAATTTTATTTATTTGTTTAATTTTTTCAGATACATCCAGCAGTTTATCGACTACAACCAGAAGCCCTCCTTCTATAATAAACCTTGATAGCCCTTCCCCTTCTCCTCCCCTACCCCACAATCTTCCTTCAGCAGGATTTGCAAACCCCCCCTCAAATTACATGTGCCACATGCGACTAGCACCAGATTCAAGGTACCACCCATATTGAGAAAAATCAGAAACTGATAATTAGGTGTTACTTTTCTCTCAATAAAGGTAAAGTATATACAAATATGTAATAAATTAGCTTAAGGATGATAATTTTTACAGCATATATTTCTATATTATTTTATTACTGATAAGAAAGCAATATTCAAAACAGCTGTCATATTTTTTACTCAGATTGAAATTCATTTTTCAACCAACCCTATGCGAAACCGACCTTAATGATTAAAGAATGATGAAGTATTTTTTAAAGAGATGAGTTTATTTACTTGAGCTCTTTTAAACCATTACAATTATTAATAATGTTCAATCTTCATGCTCTTATATTCTTGATATTCATTACACTCTTCTATGCAATCTTAGCCTGTTTTTATAGCAGGTAATATTTAAATAATTAGTTTCATAAGATGTACAATTATGAAACATTTAATTGTGTCTTAATTTAAAGTTGTTTTTTCCCCCCTAGGAGTTTGAGATTGATAAAAGTTTATAATAGATATTCTTTTCTCCATTTTTATTTTATTTAGCGTTCTAATGAGATATCATAAAGATATATATATTAACAATACGGGGTAAGGCGCTTGCAATAAGTAATCAAAGTTAAGCAACGCCAAGTGTGGTTAGCACTTGGGTGGGTGACCACCACGCTGCCAGAGATTCCAATGGAATCTCCAATTGGAATTAAAATGGAAAATAGTAAAAGGAAATTTCAATTAATCAGGATTAATAGAATTTTAATCATTACAATGTGTATTTTACATAAATACACATGCGTTTGTGTTGAGAAAAAAAAAATGATAATATTTGAATATTAGTTGGAAATATAATTTATTGGAGAAAATAAAAACATTGGGAAAATTGACGAAAATTGTTATTTACCGAAATAAATTTAAAATCATTAATTTGACTTTCTGTGGATAATTAATTGCTTTTATTAAATATATTTTATTCACGTCCTTTATCTCATCAGGTTCATATATGGTTCTATTTTAATACCAGTTAGGTCAATTTTCAATTACTGGCACTCTAATTTTGATAAATATTATTTGACAAACAATATGAGTGGCCATATGTCAAAGACTGATGTCTGTCATTTTTAAAAAATTGAAAAAAAGCCACTCGAGATTCAACTTGAATGTTCTTAAATAAAATCATCAGAAACAGTTCGAGGTGAACCAATGAAATGAAAATTCACTTTTTCTCCACTTTCTGATAATGACAGAAATCCTTTAATATGAGAGGCCACTAATATGGATTCTTTAGAGATATTATGTCAAATTTATCAAAGTTTGTCATTATTAATTGACCTTATTGACATTTAATGCCCTGGTTTATGTATAGTGTATATTCAGTAATTACATATAAACCACATTCCTATTAATTGTTAACTACAATAAATGTTAGATTGTATTAAGATCAAAGTAAGCAATATATTGAAAACATATCTTCACCTCTTTAAATATTTAAAATAAATTGTATTGATCTACTATTAATGTTTAATTTTTTCAATAAAAACTGTTGAAATTATATATATATTTATATATATATATATTATATATTTTTTTTTAAAGAAAAATAAATAAAAATCAATAATTTTATTTACAGCAATCTTTGTATGTTGAAGTCAATAATAAAGCAATTTCAAGTGAGCAACAAATTTTAGGTGATTTATCATAAATCACTTTATTTCTATTTTCTATTTACAATTTACAATTTTTATTCAAAAATTTGAAATATTGCTAGTTAAATATTTATGAGCTGAATACTAAATTGTCTTTGGTTCTTGTGTTTTTAAACTGATTTTCAATATCAAAACTTTCACTGTCAGGTTTACTTTTTTAAACCTAAACCTAGTTAAGAATGTAAATAATCATGTAATAATTATAAACTAAATAAGAAAAAGAAAAGAATAATATCAATTAACAAAAAAGTACAAGCATTTAATTGATTTAAAAGTTGCTATTACTTGAATCATTTTTAACTTAATTTTATTTAAAAAATGTCACAAAGCATTATAGTGGTATTATTCCTTCTGTATACCTTATTTTCTATATAATGCTTCCCGAATGATATGTATTTCATTATATTAGTTACTGGCTGCTGAATTTTTCCCTCTCTGTTTTTATTTAATGGTTATTTATTTATTTTTTTCTATTTGAATAGTCTGCCCTGAGAGAGCCAAATACGGATGAATGATTGATATTCATACTCCTTGTAAAGCATCTCATAGGCTACAAAAACTTATTAAAGTGAACTAGCTTTTCTCAATATTACACCAGTGAGACCTCTCGATACTGTCAAAATCCTCCTTTTGCCATAACTGATACTTTTTGAGTAGTCAACATCATGTTGAATCTCATACTAAACAGCCAGCTATATGCTGATATCGCTACTGTCAATAAATGTTAACTTGAACTAGAGGTGGTGTGCTCTTTCCTACATTCTTATAATTATAAGCTCCATCCCTACTCCTGCATAGGAGGTCATACTTAAACCTCTGAATTAAATAACCCTTTAAATTGTTGTTCTGTTAGGATAAATGTTAATGCTAGTATAAAAGAAGGGTTAGAAGTAAATATAATTTCTGTATCCATATGATTTTGAACTTTTTGTTTTAATGACAGGTTTGGTTTGAACTTTTACTAATACAAATTTTAGAGGATCAACTGTCAAAAGTTGTGTAAAGGGGTTATTGACAGAGATTAGATTCAACCACAGGTTTTTATAGTCTGAATGTACCCCAGGAGAGTTTCCCATGTTAATCCGTGTATGTAACAATATAAATAATTACATGTCAAAGCTAGACTCAAACCTGTAGTATAAGAGCACATACTTAATGATTCATCCTGTTCGCTATTAATTATATTTGATGTTAATTTATGTTTTGGTAGGGATCATTTCATTTATTTATGCAGCTATACTTAATACAATATACCATTTATTATGATTTTATATTTAATTACTGAATATGTGTGTGAATACACTCAAAAGGTGGTTTGTGCCTTCCTAGGTTATGTTTTCGTTCACATGTTCAGGAGTGTTTGAACACATGCATGTGCTGAAAGATTTTAAGTATGTATGGCTGAGTAAGTGGGAATATCAGTGGTATTGTGCACACATTTGGTAAGTGCAATTATTATCTAAAATGTATTATATGCACATAATGGAACTAGAGAATGTGCACAAATATGGTAAGTATTATCTCAATTGTTGTCTTTGAAACAGACTGCTTCTAAGTGATGTGCACAATAGAGTTATAAAAATGTTAAGCTCAAAAGTTATAAAAGTACTTATAAGATTTTGATTAATTTGCATTTAGAACATGTGTTCAGAACATCATTGATAAGAATGAATGCTTACATGCATGTGGTATGGGTGAAGTGCACAGCAGTCTAAGTGGATCGTAACTTTGTTGTAGAGAGAGGGAATTCCATAAAATGATTTTGGTAAAATGCCTTTATAAACATTTTACCAAGTTTCGCCATTATCCCTAGGAAAATGTACAATTTACCTTGAAAATAGTTAAGTAAATTTTATTTTTATCTTCTAGCTTAGCTTGTGTATATTGAGAAAAACATGAAATAACCAAGTTTTCCAACAAAATTTCCTTGCTGATGAAAAATATGGTCCAAAAAGAATTATAAAAATTACTAAAGATCCAGTGAAATTAATATGTTTCTTTGGGATAATTTTAAGGCATGGGTTTTTGTTTTGCTTTTTATGCAGGAAGGTTTTTTATTTAATTTTAAGTAAATGATATCTGAATAGTAGTACCAGGCTCTATAAAAGATACTTAATCTTTTTTTATTAGGGAGGTTAAGTTGGTGGTCATGGAAAATTTCAACTCAGCTGGATTTAAGTGTCCATGTATTTTCTGACACTGAATCAATGGAACACAAAACTAATAAAAAATAGTTGAAACTCCAATATCCAAAAAATAAGATAACACTTGTCAGAAATTGTTTATCAACCACTTTATAATTACTGGTAAAAAGTAATTAAGTTTTCCATGTTGAGTTTTTGTGGAGGGAGGAAGAGAAGGGCAGAAAACTGATATATTTTTAATTTTTTGAGAATATCTCAAATACTATAAGGCTTAATGCAATGACTGTTCAGTACAATATTAAGTACTTTAAAATCTCTATGAAAATTACTGTTCATCTTTTAAATAAAATTCATGTTTACAGTGATATTGAAGAGATTATATTTATGGAATTTCCACCTTAGAAAAAAATTTATGCAAAATATTTTAAACTGCTACTAAATACCATGATCTGATTTCTTTTTTTTTTTTTTTTTTGTTATTATTTTATTAGGGCACTAGGTTTTATGTTCAATCAATTTAGTATCAGAAAGTATATGATAAAAAAAGGATACCCCATTACCTAAATGGTTGAATTGAAATTTTCCCAACCTCTTCTCTCAAATAAAGAATGGAGTGTATTTGATAGAGGTGGTTACTTTTCAGGAATTTAGAATGACATAAAAAAGTTTTCTGTGGGGGAAGAGGGAAGAAGAAATCTTAGCATAAAATTATTCCGAAGAAATGTTTTTTCTTAAGTTACGCGAGTATGACATGAATTGTAAAAGATTCAAGCTAGGTTAGTAATTTCTATAATTCTTCGCTCCATATTTTGGTATGTTTCCATCAACATATCACTGAAAAATATTTTGAATTTTCAATGGGCTAATAAGTATATGTATGGGTGTCTGATGTCTGTGCGCTAGTATGTGTGTAAGAGCATGTGTACAGATAATTTTATATACGCTCTTGTTAATAAACTTAGTTTACATTTTAAATTTTTCAAGGTAGTGGATGAATAAGATTAGTTTTAATCTATACCTGCACTACTTTAATTGTTAAATGGTCCTGTGTTTTAATAAATTATTACATACATATTTTTAATAATTTATATCTATTTACATGATCAGAGAAAAGTTAATTATATTTACTGATGATTTTGAAGTTATATATAAGAAACAGAAAACCAAAATAGTGGTCAAATTTTATTTAATTTATCTTTCATTAATCGCATAATTTGTTTTACATG